AGGAATAATAATTATCCTCATTCAATTAATAAAACTCAGTTGTGTCCAAGTCTTAATGCACTTTTTTGATTAGTTATATTAATTTGAGCACCTCTGTCCAAATTGTTAAAAATGCATATATATTCTTTAATTCCTTTTTTTTTGATTTGATAGATTATATATAAAATTTTCATTGCTAAATTTCTATTTCTTTCAGATTAAGGGATTAGTGACCATAAAAAGAGCTCAATTGATCTGACCAAACATTAAAGATTTTAAGAAATAATATTATAAAATAAAATTTTGAGAGAGAAATTTGTATTTTCCCCCGCTTCTCCACAGTTTTAACGTCGTGCAAAGCTCTAAATGACCATGAACTTTTATAGTTTGTTGGCCAGTGTAATTAATTTGTGATTGCCATTATGTCTTTACCCTCTGCAGCTTAGATCCATAAGTGCTGCGGTTGTGTGTCAAGGGCCATGTTTGTATTATTGCTGATCCTCTGAGAGCCCATTGTTTGAAGACCTCACAGGTTCCACCTAATGTAATTGGCCACGGATGTCTTGGCTCAAGACTTTCTTCAGGCTTTGAGGATTGACAGAGCTGTCCTGGACTTGAAAAGTAACTTGTCCAAATACAGCCTTGTTTAATTATAGGAGGGGGATGCATGCATATCATTGTGCAAAATCCCTCAAGCTCAATAAATGCCCAGTCTAACTCATGTCAGGCTAGACATTTAATTCCACTTCCAAAAGAATCTCTATGCAAATAGGAACAGGATTTGGCTCTCCTCTTCACCTTATCCCAAAGCGCTTAAATGCCACACTCTCCTCAATTCACCTTCAGTTTGCCAGTGACATACCTCCCAGAGGCTCTCCGTCCAATGTAAACACATGGGGCTTCTTCCTTGCTAATACAGTGTGCTTTGCTTTAGCTCTTCCTCCACACCCTCTACCCCCAAGCCAATCCCTGACCACCACAGCCTCCACCTCGGTATTCCGATTTGCCAATCCCAATCTAATTTATGGGATATTTTGTAGGTAACTGTATACGGCGGCAAGGGAGATAACATCTCCAGGCCCCTGTCAAGGACAGGAACTCAGCAGTATGTGCTTAATAACATAAACTGCTGAAAAGGTCCTGGGCCAGTGCATTGGCAGAGGAGCAGGCCAGGCAGATGGATGGAGAGCAGAGAGAGGGGACCCAGTGTTCTGGGGTGGGGTGAGGGTAATTGAGACCATGTGAGCCTCCCCAGTGGAAGGATTAGAGAAGAAACGGAACTCTCCATACCTCAAAATCGCTTTCAATTAGATGCGCCTAGAGCGAGAGTACGAGAGTGACGGGGAACCTAGGAGACCAGCATCGTCCAGAATAGAACAGGAAGGTGACACATGACATAGTTAAAGTTGTGCTTCTTCATGGTCCATGCAAAGGTTTGACCTGTTTGACCAGGAGATAAAAGAGTCATTGTGATAAAAAAAATAAAAATCTTTAGTTCAATCCAGCCACACCTGTGATAGTATTCATATATGTAAACCATCAGTGTGCTTTATAACTTCAATTTGAATACATGTTTGTTACATTTTGCAAGAAGCAAAGTGTTTTTTTTTGTTTTTTATAAAAACATAGTTTTTCCCACTGGTAGAATGATGGTTAGAATAGATTCACTGATCAGAAGTTTTGAGCTAACGTCTCATCCTTATTTTCTTTCAATAGCTAATTCCTGCTGATACAGACATTTAATTCGGAATTATTATAAGAAGACATTAAAACTTCATTCAGTATATGTTTTTCTTGCTTTCCTGCTGGGTACAGTCATTAATTCCTTACATTAGGAGCAGTCATAGTAAATGGAATGGAAAATGAACTGAACTTAAAATGCGCTTTTCCAGTCATAATGACTACACTTTATAGTAAAACTACAATCACTCATTCACACTCACAAACCCATTTATTGATACGCAGATTGGTAGGCAACTTGGGGTTATATGCTCTGCCCAGAAGCACATTGGCTTGTGTCTGGAAGAAGCTGTCGTGGGACTGGGCAGTTATTTTTGTGATTAGTATGGCGAGAAGCTCTTGCATCGCAAAGTTGCAATGTTTATGTCTGTATCGTAGAGAATTTGGATTAAGAAATCTGCCAGCTCTTCCAACTAACAGATTGTTAAAACTTTGCTGTACTTCATTTGCCCATCTTGTTATTCACTGAAAGTCTTTGGTTCTTCTGTTGCACCTGATTGAGCCACACACAGGTTTCAAAATGTTGCAGAAAATATTTTCCTTATTGGATAACTTTTTATATCTTTGACTAAACACCTTACTGGAATTGGCAATGGCTTACGTAGAGTGCTGTTGACAGTCTGATGTGCTTGCACTTCCAACTTCTCACCCTTTTTGATAAGGAAAAAAATAATAAATTAAGTCATACACTTTTGAGTTAACAATGAGGAGAATGATATATGCTTTGTAAGTTATAGTCTGCATTTTACATATGTGGTCATGAAAATAAAACGATTTATTTTTTTAATTATTGAGAAAAGGGCAGGTTTTTATAAGGTTTTTCTTCTTCCTGCTCCTTTTCACAATGAATTGTTACAAGACAATGTTTTGTACAGTGGTGATGTAATGTGTTTTGTTGAGTGAATAAACTGATTGATTTATTGATTGATTGATTGATTGCTGAAACAGTTTCCAAGTATTTCCACTGCAGAGACACTGAAGTCGATTAAAAACAAAACTGAAAAAGAGTGTTCTGATAAGTATTGTCGTTGCTAATCAGAAATGGTTTAGTGCAACCAAGTGTAGGACACTTGTTTTGAGCTATTTTCCCCTTGACAAAGTAGAGAAGTTGGATTTATGACATTGTTGTAATGTGGTCAGCTAAAAGTCTTCTATGGGACACGTATATTTCATCAGGTTTTAAGAACCACATTCTCGTACTTTTTCTTTTTAAATCAAAGCTATATTTTAACAAAACAGGTGTAACTTGCATAGAAACCTTTCCCTTTCAGCTTTGACACATAAGTGCACCAACCACTGGGCATGCAGCCCTCTGCGTGCACTCAGGCTTTTACCTCAGTGTGTTTCACAGCCTTAGTGTTTCCATTTAATGAACCGAAGCTGGCCCTCCAAACATCATAGCTGTAACACATTAGTACTGTTGATGGTGAATGTTGCAAGTCGACACGTTATAGCCTGACATTGGGTTAGCCAGTTTCCTGACTGTTTTGCCAAAAAACATACATTATTTAGTATTTATTATGAAACTGAGGAGCTTAAATTAAAAAAGGTTTGGGGAACATTCGCAAAGAGGGAAACATTGGATATATGAGCACATGTGACCACCTTAAAGCACGGTAAAAAGCTCTTCAAAAACAAATTAAATAACCTAAGCTTAAATAACCAATTAACCTAACAGTCATGTTTTGGACTGTATCCACATAATTTCAACATAATATTTCCATATGAAATTCTTAAAACATGTACTTTATTTTTTGTCCATTATTATGAAGAATTTGAATCATATAGTTACTGTAAATTTTATCATTAATAGTTAGATCTACACAATGTAACTTTTAACCTCTCCTCCCAACATCAGTGCAGAATTGTAATTGCTTTTTTGCAACATTTGATTCAATAATTTACCCCATGTTCCATGCATTCAGACTCCTAAATGCCAGTGATACATTTCAGATGGATGTATGCACACCATACTGATATTTGTAGTGACAGAGATTCTAAAGCTGGCGAAAAAAGTTAGAGAAATTGCGATTATGGAAAAGAGTAAACAAAATTATATTTCATATCGTTTAGATGCAACAACAGCAAGACAAGCAGATGTTTTCCTGGTCCCTATCATTAAGCAAGCTTTGATTTCCAAGTCTTCTGTTAACACATTGTAATAATAACATTGTTTTGCCTTGTAAAAAACACCATTTTACATAATTCAAAACAAAGCCTCTTCCACCAGGTCCAGACCTTTGTTACACATTAAAGGAGCTCTAAGCTCCACACTTTCTGTTTTTAGCGGTTGGAAAATGAGAAAAAAGAAAAATACAAGCCAGCATGGTTTGTACTGTGTACACTTCTTCCAGGACAATGCTTCATTCATCAACAAGAGAATGGCAGAAATTACAAAAAAGCCTTTGCATCAACAGGCTACAAGGAAGTTGCTGTTCACATTTAAACAAAGTGACTTTTTTTCCCCTTGATTCTCATTAAATAGTGACAGCATGAGTGTCCAAAAGTTGAAACATTCCTGTAGAGATTTGGAGGTCGTGGCACCGAAATAATCAAGCAAACTAATATATTTCTACAATATTTATGGACAGTACATTATTATATTTTAATTGTATGGCATTTATTGTACTTATTTTATTTAGAAGCACTTTTTGACATTTTTGTCAAAAAGTGGCCTGTTAAAAAAAGTCCGCAATTTTTTATTTTTTATTTTTTTCCCTGGCAGGAAAAATAAAGTAAAAATAGAGCATTGCTATGGAGACTTAGAGAATGGTTGCCTTCAGTCTAATCATTACAAGAAGCTCAAGCTGCTGCTTCTCATACACTCCACAACTCTTGTTGTGGTTGTGCATTTGTGCAGCTGGTTTAGACCAAAAACTCCTCACTCTGTCGCCTCTGGCTACACAGTTCACATAAGCACAGCAGCTAATCATTAGTAATGTGAGAAAGCCTGCCTAAGTTCACGGCTGTTTTATTTGAATATTGTTGATAACTTGTTTAATTGCATTGTTGCGAGGCTAGAGGGCTCCTGACCCACGTATTTAGAGCGAGGATCTTTCCTTTCACCGTTGTTCAGCTGCATGGTCATGGCTGATTTATGATGCTCTCAGTTTTGTTTTGTTTTTTTTAATTACTCGTTATTAGAATTAGCAGCAGATTAAGAACTCAAACCAATTAATAAGAGAAAAATGTATGTATAAAATGTTTTGTGTTTAATGTCCTAAGATTTTTTTTTAGCTACTTTATATTATCTAAAATAAATTAGTGTTTTCTTTTCCTAGTAAAGAACACAGACTGAGGAGCACCAAGTCCAGTGGGTTAAAGGCCAGAGTCATTGTCAGCCACTATGAGGTAATTATGTGTTTGTGTTTATAGTGTGTTGACTCCACCACTCTGTCTCTCTTCCTCTGCACTCCATCTTTCTGCCTGCCTGCACCCCCCTTCCTCCTCTCCCTTTTCCCCCTCTGTTCTTTGCACAAGTCGTCTCCCTCTGGGAAGAGGTGCCTGAGATGTTGGTTGAGCCATACATCTCTGTCAAAATCTCTATGAATAAATTAACCTTTTAAAGATTAGTCCACCCTAATACCTCAGGGTTTTTTAAACAGAGGAGCAGAGACCCTGCCTGCCCCCACCCATTCTACGCCAAGACTCACCAACTTGGTGTTAATGCTGGAACGAGAACTTTTAAAGGCACAGACTTTTTTTTTTAAATTTTATTTATTTTTTTACACCTAATAGTGACTATGGTCAACTTTAATTGTCTTTAATTCCTTAATTTTTACTTTGCTTTACTAATTGCAGTGTGGTTTATTTATGAATTGAATTATTGGATTATAAATTTTCTACATTTAAAATGAATCTCTGAATTCTTATCCAGAGATATAAGAAAAATTGATAATGTAATTTGAGATTTCTGTGTTTGCCTTTCAAAATCTCATCCCAGATATTTATTTTCTTCCTCGTAAATAGTCCTCTCACCAGTTTTGGAATTCAAATCATTATAATTATTAAGTGCTTGAGAAAACGGGATCCAGAGCCTCAAATATCTGACAACATAACCAGTAATATACTCAAATAAATTATTAACAGTTTCATTTCTTTTGTCTTTTTCTTGAATAGAAATTATACTGGAATATACTGGAATACCAGAACCTGCGGTTAAGCAACTAAAAGAACAAAAGAAATTTAAGTTACATGACAGGAGACTTTGTCAGCCAATGTTATTAAACAGAGTCAGGATTTTGTTAGAGGAACGTCTTGGTGGGACACCTCCGTTAGAGATTGTACAACATGAATTTAGCTTGACTCTGTAGCTGCGGCACTATCAAAACAAAAGATGGCATGAGTGCGTGCGTTTATCAAAGCAACTTTGACTTTCTGTATTTTGTGGTTGTTCAATTTTACTGTGGTTATCGACTGTGCAATGCATGTTTAAAGAGCAACGAATAAGAAAATATCGCTGGAAGACCCATCTCCGCTCCGCTGACTTGATGGTAATGAGAGGGTTAAAAGTACCAGCAGTTAAAATCGTGGTCTAAATGGAAACCTTTCAAGCATTTTCTTCTGCTAATGAAACTTTTACAACATGTGAATAAGAGCATCTGTTTGAATAGAAGCTAATATAAAATAAAGTTTATATAAGCAAAGACAACAGGAAAGGATAAACCAAGGCAAGGACTTGGTCTATATCCCAATTCATGGATGTCATCATAACATACGTATATAGTTTTATAAATGCTATTTCAGATAAATTATAATGAATGAGCAAAAATGTGCCATGGTAAAAAAGCTGAGAAACTTATTGAAAAATGTTTTGGTGGTCACATATGAACATGAATCGATTCATTTTAAACCTACTTGAACTAAGAGTTCAGAACTATTTCTTGCTAAGGATGAACTGGCAGAACATTATAGAACAAGAATAGATATGATGAGGACGTAAAAGTAGATAGAGTTAATGAAACAACTTAACTTATCTATCTTTAACCTGAATGCTAAAGTTAATTTACTAATTATGCAGAGCTGCACATAACTAATTTGTGATAAAACTATTTTCTAAATCAAAAATTGTCTTTGACAAGAAAACTTCAATCAGATTTGACACTAAAATGAACAGAAAAGCCAGAAATAACTGAAAATTTAGTAAAAACGTCCTTGTTGAAATGGCTATATAATTTGTATCATTTAAGTTACTCTAGCTAAAGCTCAGAAGTTTTTTTTTTGACTGACATATTGTCAAAGACAAACTGCTCACGTGAAATATTATTTATTTCTTTTAGCAGCTCACCATGTATTAACCATGTATACAAACTGAAAATGAGAAGAATCAGATGTTATAACAATGCAAGAGCTACAATTTAATTCAGTTGCAAATGTTCACGTGTGTTTCCTGCATTTAGCTGTAAATGAAGCTCACGTGTAGGTAGGAAACATTTACAGAACTTAAGTTCATGCACCATGCACAGGAATGTTTCCTATATCGTATGTTTTTTTTATTTTATATTAAACAAAATTGTCAAATATTTGACGTAAACTTAACAACTGAAGATATATAATATATACAGTACAGTGGTCTTTTGTTTGCAGTTGGGCCAACTCTCTCTACCTTGATTTTTAATTTTTTATTTTTTTTCCAAACAAATCCAGATAATTTTGAAGACCAGTTTCAAGCTGAAATTCCCTGGAAAATAAACTGTTTTCGACGGCAAGAATATGACATGTATTGGCCGTGTCGCAGGTTTTGGGTTTCACTCTAGGGGCAGGCAGAGACGTCTCCTGGACTTCCTGAGCTATAACTTGTGCCAACTCATGTACCAGAGAACTTGACGTCCCCTCCTCCTCCATTTTTGATGAGAGAAGCAGGGAGAGGTGGGGGTCAGCGATGAAGCAGTGAAGGACAAGAGTTGCTCCTTTCCTAGTGGTCCTTTGTCTCCCCTGTTCGACCTCATCACTCAATCTTCGTTTAGACCCTGACATGTTTTAACCCAGCACTCCTGGACTAATTTATGTATGTAAAGACAAGCTTGGTGAAGTGCAGCTTTCAGGAAAAGGCCACTGCCTGAGCCATTGACCCACGCTGTGGCAGTCTGGCTAATTTAATTTCTTTTGAGAGGAGGAGGGGATCCACTAACCATGGAAAGAAAAAAAGTGCCATCTTGGAAAATTTTGGGGCACACACGTGATTGTTTAGTGTAGTTTAGTGTTTTGATGAAAAGGTTTGTTGACCTTTCCTATGAATCTGCAGCAGCTGACAAAATGGGACTTTCTGATATAGTACACAAGCTTGCATTAGGAAGGCCAGCGCTGCAGACCACTGCTCAATTATCTAAGGCCTTCAGACAAGTCCAGAGAGGTCTTGAGATTTATGGCCTGAGTTCCCACGTCTAATGGTGAAGTAGAAGTCATTAACTTCTGGAAAGTGAGGCTGTCTCCCGTACTCATGATCCATATGTCCCCCTGCATTTTTGTGTCTGCACAAGCTTAGTCTTAGTGCCTGCTCAGCAATGACTAAAGCCGCTTTAAAGAACTGATGATGTAGACAAAATAGATTTTTTTTTAACAGTTGCATTTGCATGATAATGTTACACGTAGAGCCACGCAAAAATATTTACACCCTTCGTACCTTTTCAAGTTTTGTCATATTAAAACAACAAACTTATTTGTACTTTATGTATCAATTGGTACACTTTTTTTATCTAAAAAAGTGTGCTGTGCATTTGTACTTTGCCTCATGTTCTTATTTTTCAAAACTAGTGCAACCGATGAGTTTTGATCGGACAAAAACTGAACTTTCTGGCCAACATACTAAACATCATGTATTTGCTGTTTTCCTAGTGATGTCACGCTCTTCAGAATGCGGCCCACTCTGCCATGACAAACGCCAAACCAACCTGTGCTCCGGTAAAGCTAGTCAAAAAACAGATAGCTTGTAACCTCATATCGCTTTTATGTCGTTGATTTCACCTTAAAATTTGTCATAGGATGCTGTGTGGTTGGCTGCACAAACTGACAAGGATGCAAACCAGACTTTTCATTTTATTGCAGAACTTTTAATGAGGAAAGTCACGGCGGCGATGGTTAGCAGCCGTCAATCATAATGACTGGCAGTCCTCGGTGTAATAGTGAACATTTTATACAAGGTAAGACGATTAATGTTCATATACTTTGTAAGTTAGTATGATTAGTAAGATGCAATCAAATATTGCGTCATGGAGAAGGTACATGTCTAAACATTAGTAAGTGTAGAGAAATTGCTCCACCATTATGTAGCCTAGCATGTACAGAAAAAAACTGGTTGGCTTCTAGTCTTGTACGTTTTTAAGTCTGCTCTGGTGGAAAGGGAAATACTATTATTACTTATTGTCCAGGAGGAAAACAACAATCAACTTGCAGTCAGATTACCAGTAGAATTACTTAAATGAAATCATAATGTATTTTATAATGGGGAAAGTCTATGTCCAAACGTAAATATCCATCTCCATCCAGTCTCACAGAGCTAAAGCCATTATGCAATAAAGAATTGGCACATTCAAAGTTGGCAGTTTTAACTGCATCAAAAAGCAAAATATGTTTTAGATGTTTATTTGTAAAAAAAAAAATGTTGAAAGTATTTATATTTTTTTCTGTTTGCTTGACAATTTGACCTTACATTGTGTTGGTCTATCATGCACATCTCAATAAATCATTGAAACGTTTGTGGTTTTAATTTGAGAAAATTAAAAATAAACCTCGAATACTTTTGCAAGACACTGAACTGATTAACATATATGTCAACATTGAGGACAGTTGCAGCTTTTTTGTTTTTGTTTGTTTGTTCATCATATCAACTATCATATCACATCATATCATCATATCAACTATCATATCACATATCACAGTAGCATATCCAGCGGGAGACAAGTTCTTTCTCCTCTCAGTAGGAGGCTCCAAAGATCATAAAATGCTACTGAACAGGAGAGCACAGCCCATCTCTTGGTGCATTGCCATGCTCCCTACATAGCTGCACTAAGGGCCAGTCCACATATGGAAATGCTTGATTTGATATAGTGTCATTTTACTTGGCAGAAATGAGTATATGCATGTGCTCCCCCTTTTCCGCACCCAGACGCCACCACTACTATAATCCGGAGAGCTTGAAATGTGACCCAAGGTTACTACCAGTGTTGTTAAGAATGAACATGTTTCCTATTTGATGTGTCCACTTACACAATGAAACTGAAGATATTCATTTAGCCTAAGAATCTGTGCCTGTGTACCTAAGTGGAGGATGTTGGACAGGAGCATTGCCTAAGAGCATTGATTATGTGAGCAATATGTTTTGTAAATGGCAGGGGTGTAAAAATACATCCAGC